ACGTAGAATTCTGGGCTCTACCATTAACAATCCTAAATCTAGAGGCTTCTAGAATATCACTTAAGTAACAAATATCTATTTGTAAATACATGTTAACTTCACAAAGAACAAAATAAAATTCTTAAAACTAAAGTGAAATTCATAAATTTCAAACCAGAAACTCTAAAGTTTAGAATAAAGGTGCATCTCTTGAGATCACTGTCCACTGAGTATACATGTCCCTCCCCCGCTTGGTTTTCATTAATAATTTTTGGATACAATCATCCAAGATAATATGTATATTTAAGCATAATTAAGAAGTCTATTACTTTCTATATCTGAGTTTAGCAAAGAAAAGAAAAATGATGAATTACTTAGTAGCAAGGTTGAAATTTTATTGCCAAACGAGCAATGGGAAACTAAAAGCAACAACCAAAAGCCAAAAAGGTTTTTATTCTGGAGGCAAAATATAATGGCATCAAAGCATTGAAGGAAGTTGAGTGTTACCCTGAAATTGTCGTAGCGATATAACATCTGCTATCACTTTGTCACGCAAGGACAGGAAAGGTTGGGCACACCCAGAATTTCAATAAGCAAAATGCTTGAATCTATAAATGATAAATCTCTAGGTCCTGGATCCAGCGGATTGCAAGGATGAAAACCACCTTAAGGTGAAATTGTTCAATTTATCTAACTGTAACTATGGATTTTAGTTCAATATTCATATTTAAGTATGAAGCACTTAATAAAGCATTTTTAGGGGATAAAAGGTGGATGCGCTGGAATTTAAACCTGAGACATTTCTGATGTGAGAAGCAAGATATAACAGAAATACACTGTCATTGCCACAGTGGTTAGTATATTATAAAGCACTTGGGACTTTTTTGTTGTTATTTGGTTGGTTTGGTTTTTTTCCCAATAAAATGATCACAAATTTCTCCAGAAATAATGTAAGTTAATGAAAGTAAGTGAACTTTCAGGAGAAACAAGTCTCATTTTAAAGTCATTTTAAAGCATTACTTAGAGGACTTGCCCTGAGAAATTATAGATCTGTTAGCCATTTTGAAGTCAAAACATTATGTGACAAGTAATCAAAAGAACATTGCCCCTTTTCATCCCACTGTCCCAGGAAGGCCATGTGGCTTCCATAGCCAGCATGACACTCACACACACAGCATGCCTGCACCAAATCCTCTGTTTCTGTAGTGCACAGCCTGGAAACCTATCGACATCTCCGAAGCTTCTCTGAAAGTTTACTGATAGGGAAAACTTTGTCACAAACTTCTTGAATTCTGAAACTTTTATGTCACCTACAGAAATAGAATTTTAAAAAAAACCTCAAGGATAATTGACAAATAAAAACAGTTACCTGTGACTTACTAAATTTTTCTCTTCTGTCTGAAAAAAAAAGTACGAATTATGGTAAGCACTTAATTGGTTCTGTTGGAACCTGCCAGTCTATGCCCTTTGAAACAGTGGACTTTACATTCAAAACTCTAAGTCATTGTTAGCACTGCATTATGAGACTATCATGGTCATTGCCATAAACAGCCAGCATTGTGTTAGCAGAAGGCCGCTTGTGCCAGGAATATTGCAAATAGAAAGAACAAAAATTCATAGCAGGTGTCAGATTTTATGAAAGAAAATGTTGGGCTAATAAAAGGGACCAAAAGTGCCTCAACTTCTCAATGAGAGGTAACCCCCACCTCTCATTTCACCCAGATAACGATAAATTGCTGGAGCCGTGTGTGTGTGTGTGTGTGTGTGTGTGTGTGTGTGTGTGTGTCTGTGTGTATCTCTGTGTGTCCGTGTGCGTGTGTGCGCACACGTGCACGAAACACAATTATTTGTGATCAGGCTAACAGTTGTTTTAAGGGACACTTTTTTTTTTGGTCCTCCAAAGGGATTCTCAGTCATCTTACCGGCAGACTTCACAGAGAATCAAGCTTTACTCCCTCACTTTAAAAAGAAGACACTGAGGCACCAGAAGTTCTGACTCACTCCAGGTCACAGTTTTGTTTGCACTAGCCCTGACAGGGAAACTCTAACCCACATGACCCAACTAGGTCCAGTGTCCACCCTAAGGCTTTACATTTAGCTTTGTCATAATTTACTTTACAACTTGGAACTCAGCTCTTCACTGGGAATGATTAACAGAGGTGACTTTCGTCACTTCTCCCACAGAATGCCCACACAGCGAAGAAAGACAACACGTACAGCATGGCCATTATTCTTTTCTGTCAGCCTAAACAACAGTCTGGGTGACAGTCATTTCTCTTACTTGAATAGGATGCTGTTTCCAAACTACTCAGTAGGCTAATGAAAATTATATCCCCTATCATTTATCCCCTATTATATCTCTATCAATTGCCAAAACGTGGAGAACAGGACAGACCGGCAGTGATCAACTTCTATGCTGAAAACACCTTTCATTCTGAACAAGGAGCAAGGGTAGCAGCATCCAGGAAGCTGAAGAAGGAGAGTCTAAGGCTAGCTTAGATAGAACATGTGTCTCAAAACGAAAACCTTATCAAAGGTCCAAAAAATAATTTCTAAAAAAATCTGTGTTTATGTGTTATAGCAAAATTAAATTATAAGCAGAAGCGGATATTTAACTCATTTGAAAACAAATAATTACATATTAATATAAACATAAGTTTATGAAAAATAACTATTTCTCCAAATGAAAAATTTTAGTGAAGAATTGGCCATTTTTTTTCTGTCAAGTCTATTATCTTCCTTTAATATAAGAGCCAGATTCTCATATCAACTCCTGCATTCAACATATACTAATATAGTCTGTCCCATGAATATGGGAAAAAATGTAGCCTCACATGGACTTCCTAGAAATGGGAAGAATGCTATAAAGGTCTGTTCAGATCATTACAGGCATGGTTCTTTGGGACCACAGTGAGTACTCTTTTGGATATGGTGAATTGTTGACAGTTACAACATGGAATCTGAACAAATCCCAAGCTACTCAGACATCATTGCATGAAAATCCATTTGTCCACCTTCCACTCTGAGAAGATCTTTTACCCACTCATGATTTATGATTTCATAAACTTCCTTGGAGAGGTCTCTGAATCCCCCAGATCACAGTTTTAAACCTTTAAAATAGGTTTTACCCAGAGAGGAGGGATGTTGCTGAGACCACCACCAGCATTCCACATAGCCTTTAAAATAGGTTTTACCCAGAGAGGAGAGGTATTGCTCAGACTACCAGCATTCCACATAGCCTTGACGCTTCACAGTCATCAATCTTTATTTACCCAACCTTTTTTGAAATGGGATATTATCATTGCAAGTGGAAAAAACTGGGAAAAACCAATTTTGTCTAAAAAGATACAAAGAAAGAGACCAATGATGAAACATGGATGACATTATTGTATTGTGTATATCAAAATCTAGAAAACAGCCTATGTACCCTCTGATCCTTGAGACTGTATTCTTGAAATGAGCAAAGCAAATAGGCTTAGGCTACCATCACCAGAGAAAGCTGTAAAGACTTACCAACCTATGGGATGCCAAGCGACACTAAACTTTTCACAATGAAATGTGGGAAGCTTAATCTTAGTTGACACAAAACCACCGGGAAATGCACAAGCAGAAAGAATTCCTGTTACTGTACTATTAGGAGGGACAGACACTTTCAATATCCACAAACACAGGCTGGTTGCTCATACCCATGGCATGCCTAAGGATATGGGTTGATGGATAATCAGGAGGAGACTGAGACACAGCACTGGAATACGGCATGCTGTACTATGGAGAACTGCTAGGAATGTATTCTTAATGGAACATTTGCTTCTATAAAAGCAAGAAGAAAATGGTTTGAGGCAGTGATAAGGAAAAGAATTCTCAAACCAGAAGTTATTGCTTTATATTTGAAAAAAGAAAAAAAACAGTAAAAAATATAGGTATATCCTATATTCTGTTAATAGAATGGATATATTTTCCACAAAATAAAGATTCAGGGAAATGAAGGAAAATACCCACATGTTCCTAGATGCCAAAGGAATAAAGTGTAGTTAGAAAAGTTATACTTTATATATTCCACAAAAGGTTCACTTATCACATCCATGTAATAAAACCAGAATTGAAGCAAAGTCCAATGCAAGTGCTCATTGCATAAATAAGAGCCACCCTTACCCTCTAAAACTGCTTCCGTGTTTTCCTGAACATACACCACACTCTCCGCAACAAGGAAAACCAAGGTACGTTTACAGTAAATAAAGTGTATCTTCTTGCATAGCTCATAAGTTAAAAATACACCAATTCAAAAGTATAGTGATTTATATATAATATATATATATAATATATTATATATAATTTCTAATATAAGAAAGTAAGATTGCCCACTAAGTGCTTTTAGAAGGCTGAGTCTATAAATGCCTTCATAGTTAAGGAAATAATTTGTTTGGACAGGAAACTACAATTTTCATATAATTAGACTACTTCCCTCACCCACCTCCCCCGAAAAAAGAAATCTTCCTAGAAAATAGCAAGAGAAGGAAGCTTGTAGGTAACAGACTTGGGGTTCTGTTTTATTTTGCACAACTATTGAAGTAATTAATAAAGAATTTTAATATAAAAAGGAAATGGGACCATGAGGATAAGTAATTTATAGTCTCAGCGAAGCAGCAAATCACAAGGGAAAGGAATTCTATTCTGATACAGTACAGACAGTAACATTCCCAAACACTCAAACAGACAACAGAGGCGCACCTATGCGTGCTTTTTCCAAGTCAACACAAGCATTTCATAAGAGATCTTAAGAATCTTTTGTTCCTCTACTTCAAAAAATAGTGCTATGTCAACATTCCAAAGAGAACAAAATGACCATCCTTAAACAAAATAAAACTCAATCTCTCAAATGCAAAAATAAAGATGGGATGTAACAATTTACAAAGCCAGGATTTTCAAAACTAAAATAATAAAAGAAAAGGAAAAGGAAAAAGAAAGAAAAGGAAAAAGGAATGGAGGGAGGCGAGAAAGAACTCCAAAATAAATCAACTTACTTTGACACATTTTCTGGAATGTACTCTAGGACTGGATATCCATCACTTCTCCTAGATGACAGGTCACCGTGTGGTTTCCATGACTCCACTAATGTATTGACGGGTGGAAAGGAACTCAAGTGTTGGAAAGATTGGTCTCTAGGTGACCGTGATAAAGATATTGTACCTTGAGCACCAATCCGGTAGTGAAAGGACTGTCCACCCGAATTCACACCAACGATGGCAGACGATGGGATGCTGGCCTCGGGGTAATAGCTCCCATCATCTGGTTCTTGCTTAATCCCCAGTGGGAATGCACTGCCTTCACAGCTACCGTCAAAACCGGGCACGGGTGGTCCTAAAATTCCTGATAGAGAATAATAGTCTTTATCATCCATAAAGGAAAAATATGAGCCATCCATGAATGGAAATGGGTTGACCGCGGGGTTCCCTTTAAAAGGGGCGCCTGAACATGAGTGCTTGGCTGATTCTTGCTTTATTGGTACAGAGAATGGAGAACTGGGGTTGATTTTGCTGTTTCCTCCTAGGCAGGAGCTGCTGAAAGCCCCATCTGGTTCTGGTTTTATGTACTGGACAATGTTCAGCTGGCCAGTCACACCATTGGAGATGGCCTTCTCAACTTCCTCTGTCTTAGGGAAAGGAACGTCATGAGCACCTTTCTCATGGGTATCTGGACTGGGAACCGCATCCTGGATGGCACTGGCTCCAGCAGCAGCGCCTGAAGTGGTGTAGCTGAAGGCATTGCTGATCGGGCTGCAGATGGACCCCACAGTGCTGGCTGTCGGGCTGGAGAGTGTGGATCTGTTGTTGGTGTTGGAAGGGCTGGAAACGGAGCACCTTGAGTTGTTAAGATTTGCCGGGCTGGACACAGAGGAGCGCAGGGTGACATTATTAGGACTGGAGACCGGAGATTTTACACTGCAGTGACTCGGGGGGCTGGAAATTGGGGATTTCATGCTGCTTAATGGACTTGAAAGAGGGGAGCCCACGTTGCTAGCATGTGCTGGGCTGTGCGACCGCGAGCTTCGGTTTTCAACATTGGGGGAGCATGTCAGAGGGGTTCCTTGAGTGATGGGGCTGTGCACTGGGAAACCGCCAAAGCTGGCTGTGGAGGAGGACATGGAGTTGATGCCCGCAGGGCTGCATACCGAAGACGGCATGTTCAGCGGGCTGCAAACAGAGGGGCTCTTCTCATGACAGATGATTGGGCTCTTAACAATGGCACGCATGACCCCACCATTCACGGAGCCTCCGGAGTCGGGCATGAATGACCTCAAGGGCCTGCTCATACCACTTAACGTGGAGGGCCGATGGCCATTCTCTTTATAAAACTTCACCAGGTGCTCCATGTTTTGATAAATCTTTGCTGGGCTCATGCTTCCTTGTTGGTTCTGCTGATCGTAGGGGTAGTCGGCATCTCTCACAGAATCCATGTATAAGCCCATGGACTCAGCCACAGTGGCTGAAAGTTCCTTGGATTCCAGCTCGGTTTTAATATCAGATGGTAAAATCCCAGACCGACTACTGTCTTGCTGAAGGCATGGGAGTAGTTCGTGTTTTTCTTTGCTGCTTCCTTGAGTACTGTTGTTTGGAATAGCACCGGAAACACAGCTGACGTTGACAATCTCCATGTAGTTGTCCTCATCGGTCCTTTCCGCAGGTCCAAGAGAAGAACGCTCTACCGTCTGAGAAACCTGACTCCAGCGTCCTTCCATATCTAGACCTTCAGGGAGACTGTGGTAGCCTTTGGTTTCCATAGCTAACAAACAAGATTTTTATTAACATGTTAGAGTCAGTACACAGTGGTATGCTGAGGCATTCTAAAATTGCATTTATTGAGCTACAATATATATTCTATTTGATATGAACAATATTTCTAATTGCATTAAAATTTATCTTCTTGGGTGCTAACACAATATATCACACATACAGAATATTGACTATAACTTGTTCAGAGCCGGAAGGACCAAACACCATTTTGCATTTCAATAAAACTTGCTGTAACATAGCCTTCATAGTTTGTAAGGAACATTCATAAATGTTAACTTACTTGAATATTAATTAATAGTCAATATAATCTAGGTATTGATGTGATAGTCAGAGTAGAAGTGAGGACTAGATGAGGCGGGTGATTGACAAAGTCAAAAGCATGGTGACAAATGTCAAATTGAAGACTGACCTGGGCAACCTCTCCTTGGGGTCCACTTCTACGCAGGAGCATGGCTCGTTTCCTTGCTGTTAAGCTCGCTCCCATAATAAAGCTCCTTTATACACTAAAACAAAACAAACAGCTAACTTTATGACTCCAGAGTTTTGGGAAACTTGGTCATATGCAAGCTGCCTTCCATATGACCAAATATATAGCCTTATTATAAATGATTATAAATGGAAATGCAATTAAAGTTACAGTTCCTAAACACATGCTTACCAACTGAATAGTCACAGGAAAAAAATGGTTGACTTTCTTATGGTATGTTAGTGGTGAAGATAGTTTAGTGTCAGCTCTGAAGAGGACAAGTTTCTATTAACTGATTGACTTGTAGCACAGACCAGGGAAGTTGCCAGACAGGTCTGCTGCAGCAGGGACTCTTTCTTGTACTTAATACAGGAAGCAGCTCTGACTAGCACCCTGGCCTATCAACACTTCTCTTCAGTCTTCCAACAGCTGGGCATTTTTACTCTCAACCATGAATGGAGGATGCTTATGAAGGGCCCTGATCATGTAAGCATTTATTCAATGATATTTCCCAAGTACTTGTTATATCCTGGGTCTAAGAACAGTCCTGAATCTGTAGTAACCAAAAAAAAAAACAAAACAAAAAAAACCCCGCCTAGTTTCCATCCTAGAGGAACCCATGGGAGTGTTTTCAATATACATTCATTTCCATCTGCTCTAATCGATAAATTTAGTTCATGAACAGATTATAATAGGCTATATGCTCATAATTATTATACGCTATATAACTCAGCACACTATTACAAGCCTTTCTGATATATTATTTAACCTTATGAACCAATTTATACACAAAAAGCAAAAACCTACTCTTAAACAATCCAAGTCAGAGACCGAGGCACTGGCCATACAGCTATGTGGAAGAGCTGGAATTTGATCTCAGGCCTCTCTGTTTACCAATGTTTCCCAACCTGGGTCTTAAGGACATTTTCAGGTGGATCATTTTTTTGTTGTGGAGGTCTGCCCTATGTACTGGAATGTTTTTCCTAACTACTAGATGCTGAGAGTACCACTCTCCCCAGCTATGACAACCAAAAAAAAAAAAATGTCTGCAGATTATCAAATGTCTCTAGGGAGCAAAATCATCCCTGGACAACTGCAGTAAAGAAACAGACCACTGTAAAGACATATGTGATAGAAAATTAATTCGGTCTTATCTGTACATTTTAGTATTAAAAATCATACCTGCATACATTTTCAAATGTCCTGCCAGGTCTGCAGTTCTTCGTATATAAAAAGCCTAGTGCAGTGCTTACATCCTTCTCTGTCTGCCTCTAGCCTTCTCCCTACCCTCTCTTCATTAAAAGACAAAAAACCCCTGGAAATCCTTTGCTACAGAATTTATATTAATGAACATTGCAAAACAATATAATGACTTCACTAAGTAAAATGGTATTACATATCACAAGCCTCTATAATGAAATGTAATGCTCAAATTTCCTGAGTATTACAATTACCTCTGACTTTTCTGTATTCTACAGTTGATCTTAAATTATGAGTAGCCAGAAAATATCAATTCCACCACTGTGTCCCAGATGGATAGTAAAATGTAAATAAAAATGTTTAACTATTATACTATAATCAATACTCAATTTATGAACCTTAAAATCTACCAATTATGTAGCATGCTTCCACTTAAAGAACATTATTCTATTAATTCTTAATAAAAAATCAATCACTAGAAAGTAGAAAATAAATCAAATCACAATCACAAAGGTTTAGGTAGTTATCTGGTAATTTCAGCCAAAAAAATAAATATAGATTAAAACCAAGTTAAAGTTGAAACACACACACACACACACACACACACACACACACACACACACACACTCACACTCACAGTGAATTGAAACCTAAATCATTGCTGATAATGGATGTTTTTACTCTTCTGAAAACTCAGTCATAGCAATGAATTGGAAAATACAATAAATATTATGTGCTGCTTCTACAGGAAATATTCTGTCCTTTCTGTACCAAAGAGAGTTGGCTACAGCTAAGGTATACATGTTTCAGGTTCAGATCCATTAAATGTCACAAGAACTATATCTGAACTATATATTCAGAACACAACCTCTTATATATATCCGCCCTGTCTTCATCACCAAACTCACACCAAACTCTTCTGAGCTCTGCTGTGACCTTATGATGAGGATGCTCCTGCATCCTCACTACAAGGCTGCTACAGGGACTCCCCCTGCCCCTGATTCCCATAGCTGCTACCCCCGACCTCCCCTCCATCCTAGGCAACAGGGCTGTGAGCCCTGAGTCTGAAGGCGAGTCCAGATCCTTCTCCAGAACTTCATACACCCAACTATCTTTTGGGATACATGGACATTCTGCTTTTTATGAAGTCTCACAGTAAAATTCTGGATACTAAAATCCTTGGGAGATTTTAAAATGCAGAAAGCAGTGTATTTTTAATCCAGCTCTCCCTAAAATAATTTGATCTCTGTATATCTTGTTGTTGTTCAGAGGACCTACTAATATTCTGAGGGGCACTTGTGACTATTGCCTAAATGAGTCATATGCCAGGTCTACAAACCTCTCTAAAGCTCACAGTAGAATCCTTCCTGGAGACAGTGGGCACTGGTCACAGTTCCTCTGTACAGGGAAGCATTGTATCAGCGAACATCAGACAGCTGAACTCAAATCCCCAAGTCCTGTTTCTCACCAAACCGTGATCTCTCCTAACAGTCTCCTAAAGCCAACTGTGTTTTACCACGTTATTGACAGGAGTATCATGAAGAATTTGACAGAGACTTTCTTGAAATCTAAACTGGCTCTGTTCAAAGTATCCTCATCTATCAACCTCATTCACCTCTCAAAGGAAATGGAATAAAGGTTGGCAGCCAACACAGAAAAGTGGACAGCAGCAGCATGTGAGCTCTAAACCTTGTTTCCGAGACCAGAAGCTTTTAAATAGCATTACTGAAACATTTTATGCTGAGTTCTGCTTGGTTAGTACTCTAGTTAGTATTTTCTATAAACAAATGGGTTAGGTTAGAAATTTATTTCCTGTGTTGTCCAGGAAACTCGGGTTGTCTTTTCAGAACTGGCATAATGACCATGGCTTTGAACAGTAGTTCAGTCAGCCCGAACTTGCCAGTGACTACTAAAAATACGACTTGATGAGTATGATCCTCATAAAACTTTATCCTGAGGGTAAAGGGGAAGCTTTTGTTACTTAAGAATAAAATAAAGCAGTGAAATATATGAATTATATTCCTAGCTTAAGGAAAATCAGGCTCTGTGTTTCCCAGTGAACACTATACCAGAGACGCCTGGGCCATTTCGGACCTTTGTTTTCATGCAAAAGAAAAAGGAAGGTGAGAAGAAATTCACATAAGTAAGGGAAAGCACCAACAGGTTTTTTGTGTGTGCACACGTGTGTGTGTGTGTGTGTGTGTGTGTGTGTGTGTGTGTGTGTGTGTGTGTGTTTGGAGCGCTACTAATACCCTGAGGGGCACTTGTCACTACTGTCCTAAATGAGCCATATGACACACACACACACACACACACACACACACACACACACATAGAGTGTGTATATATACACATCACACACACACACACACACATCCTTAAATACTATTTCTACAAAGGAACAGACTTTAAAACTTTGTTTTATAGTCTGTTAAATTGCCCTTTTCCATAAGGAAGTAATTTCCTCCCCCCCCCCCCCCAGGAATTATTGAAGAGCCTTGGGAATTTGCATCTTTCCTGATAACTTTCACTTTTAATGCTCTCCAAAACATATCTCCTTCTTAATGGCATCTTTTCCCCAATTATGTTGCTTTGGGGTGGCACAGTAGAGACCCAGCTTAAGGGCTTCACAACACGTGGCTGTTTTTATGAGGCAGAAGATGACTTCAGGAGACTGGCTGTAGCTGTCTGCCTCTCAGGACTGTCTCTTCCCCTCTACAGGGGGAAGTGGGATAAATCTGCCAAGGTCACTGAGAGTGGAGAACCAGTTAGAACCAGCATACCTGACTTCTGCTCACTGGCCTGACCCACTGAGCTACATCAGCTTTCCATTTTTTTTTTTTCTTTTAAGCAAAACTACCTCTCCCATAAAGGAAAAAGCTCCGCTTTAGTCCCCCCACATACACACACCAACTTCTCCCTGAAAGCATTTCCATGGCAGTGTGTCATGTCAAACATGAAATTAAAGCTCCAAGGGAGGACTCCGCAGATGGAGAACGCTGTTATCATTACTATGTACATATCACCAATAACAGCACCTAGAGAATGAGGACCCAAAATGTTAAGGAGCCTTTAAAATTCGGCAGTCTTAATAACTCGTCTGCTATCAAAAGTTTTCCAAACTATGTTATAATAAATAAATAAAGCAGATGGTATGATTAAAGCATTAAGATTTAAATCTCATCTTTTTAAAATGCAGCAGGAAAAGCCATGCATCTAAAAACCCATCTGGGCAGGGATGCCACCAAAAGCAGCTTCATTCCTTTTCCGTCCCTGCCCTAAGAATCCCCTAGAGTTTCCCTAATATCAAGGAACGGGAAACGCAAGATTTTCTAGACCCCTTTTATAAGAGATCTATGGGGCTCTAGCTCCTTCGACTGCCCTATGGGCTACACCTCCCACTCAGATTGAGGAGCTTCCGCAATTGATAGATGAAAGAAACATTATTCAAACGTCCTTTAAAATTTGCAAGAGGAAAAACGATCTGAAATTCATTTTTGGGGAAAGGGGAGGGTGGCAGACCTCCCACTGCCAAAGGCGGTTAAAAGCCGCTCTTTAGAGGGCATTTATCCAAAGTGGCCAAACTTTCCCAAAATAGTCCTCAGCCGGCCGGGGTGGGGGGGCAGGGGGGTGGAAAACCAAAACAAAACAACAAGCACACAGCACCATACTGACTGTGCCTCCGGATTACGCAGCGGCTTCTCCCTGCAAAGTGCAAGCCACCCTTGCCATGGCCGCACGCCGGGCAGGACCGGAGGCGCCCCACTGCGCACCCCTACACACCTGCCTCGGCCGGGGTCGTCTTCTCGCCGTCTACCTGTTGCAGCGCTTGCCACCGCCACGACACCCCTGCTGCGGAGCCCCCCTACATCCAACCACATCCAGGCTAGCGAGTGCCGCTCTCTCCCTGCAGCGGGAGAGCCCGAGGCAGCAGCGCCGGCGCCCAGGTGACTTGCACGGGCTTCCTCTGAGCAGCCTGAAGTTGGCTCTCTTCTCCCGGGCCCAATGACACCCTGGGTGCGCAGGAGCTAAGGGGAGGGGTCAGGGGCAGGGCCAGGGCGGGCAGAAGAGGGAGGGAACCCGCGGGAGGGAGCGGGCGAAAGCCCGGAGGGGGAGTGGACCAGCTGGAAGCGGGTCACATGTCCAGAAAGTTCAGGTCGCTGTCCCGCCCGCCGGAACCATTCTCATTGGCTAAGGGGGAAACAAGGCTCCACGCTGTGCGGGCCAGGCGTGCTTCTCATTGGGCAGTCGGGGCTGTCAGTCACCAGGCGGGCGACATGACTGATACAAAGTTGCTGCGACACAGCTTGGACTCCGCAGCTTCCTTAAAGCCGCAGAGGCAGCAGGTTCTCCGGGTTCGCGGAGGTGGCCACGACCCGGGGCACCCCTGAGCGTGATGCCCTGTAACCCACATCTCTCCCTTGCCCCAAACTTGCTCTCACCTACCCAACTGTCCCCCGGGGGGACCACAGGCAATCTGGAGAGAAGGGGAAAGTGTGGTGACGCGGTAGCAGCCTAGATGATGTGCCCTCACGCTCTCCACCTGCAGCGCCAGGTGAGCGGCAGGGACTCACACCCGAAACCGCCTACAGCGTCCGCAAGCCCAGGACGACTCAGGTGGGCGTCCCCGGGACCCTTAGCGTTCTGCTCCCCACCTCCTCCAGGTCTGAGTTACCTCCCCGCCGAGCAGCCTTAGTCTCCGCGGTCGAGAGCCAGAGGATCACGTTCCCACTAGATTTCAGTTTCCTTGTTTTAACCATGCAGGAAAAGCGGGTGCTTTCGGTGCAGCCAAACCCCTTTAAACACAGCCTTCCTCCCACCCCACCCCCTGCCAAAAAAAGTGCCAGGGTCAAGAGCTAAGGCGCCTGATAATTTTGTTACTGTACTTAGTACTTTAGTGCTGGATTTTTCCACTAGTTCAATATGCAAGAAAGCTTACTATCGAGGATACGCACTTTATAATGTGTGGAAGGGGTGCACATAATTGGGGCAGGCTTATTGGAGGAGGGGAAGACCTAAACTGTTTTCTAACGATCGTTTGTCTGCGCGAAGAAAAATTGACTTCCCTTCGCCCCCTCCCGATTTTCCTCCTGCCCACCTAAACACTGCACTTGCTTAAGCCGAAGGATGGGCTCCTTAACTTTAATTTCTAAGGACTTCTAGGACTGGTGTGAGGCTCGGTTTTGGACTCCCCTGTTGGCTTGGAGTCAGCACCAGTGACGTACACACCTAAATCTGGTCCCCTGGCCTTTGGCGACCCACAGGCCTCCGGCGGCAGCTGTGCAGCTTAGGGCTCACCCTTGCTCCCCGCGAGCTGAAGCCTCGGGAGGAGGAGGACACCTTGTACCCAAAGGCCCCTCCTTTCTTTACAGTTAGTTAAGCCTCTAGGTCCTGGATCCCAAGCCGAGGGAGACGGGAACTCTCAGCCACTCCCGCAGGACACTCCCCAGAGGCTGGGGGACTGCAGCTGCTCCCGCGAGCTGGCCGGGACTCGGGACTCCGGTGCTCAGCAGTCGCTGGCGCGGAGCTAGCCCTGGAGCCCCTACACATACGAATCCGCGCCGAGTGTCCCAACTTTCCCCCGAGGTTAGCTGTCACGAGCGTCGGACAAGCAGTCGCAGCATCGATTGCGCCCCGGGCCTCACGCGGGTGGCGAGCTAGAGCTGGGGGAGTCCCAGACCCGGCGGCCCGGGCTCGCCAAGCAGCAGCGGCTGTAGCTCAGCCAGGGTGACAGAACTATTCATCATTAAAGAAATGGACGCGTCTCCTTTTTACTAAGTTTTTACCTCCTCTAGGGAGAGCTGGTGTTGCCCTGGATCGAAGCTCCTTGCAAAATCTAGGTTAGAACGGCGCGGAGCAGCAGCCGCGCTCGCTCGCCCTGCACCCTTGTCCCGCGCCGGCCAAGCGGGTACCTGGACTCCTGCCCGCAGCCCACCTTGCTGCGCCGACCCGCGTCTTCTCCCCTCTGCGCTGGCCTTGCCACCTCGGGGCCTCCCCTGTGCTCCCAGGCCCCCTCCCGCCACTGTCGGCGCAAAGTGACAGTCGTTGCACTCACCTTTTCTAGGACATGGTAGGGAAGCTGGGGAGGAGGGAGGGCAGCGAGACTCCCGCCGCCTCCGCCGCTGCTGCAGCCACCAGCAAGTCCAATACCGGCTGATCAGCGATGAGGATGGAGAGGGTAGCAACCCCAGCAGTCGCCCTACTGACGGTGGGTAGAGCAATAGAGCGGCAGTGCAGTTATCCTGCTGGAGGCAGCTAGCTGGCGGCACCAAATCGCGCCGAGGGGCTGCGAGCACCCGCCGGCCCCCAGCAGTGGCAGCTGGGCCTGGGGCCGGCGGGTCTCCCGGGCTGCTGGTTCGCCCCGCGGTGACTGCGGAGGTTCCCGGAACCCGCCAGTCCCGCGGTAGGATTCCGCGCCCGCAGCGGGGAAGCGCGGCTCTCCGCGCCCCCTCCCTGGGCTGGGGTGGCCGGTGACAGCACTGGCGACAGAGCGTGGTGTGTATGTACGTGTGTGTGTGTGTGTGTGTGTGTGTGTGTGTGTGTGTGTGTGTGTGTGTGTTTGGGTGTGTGTTTGTGGGGGCAGTCGCGGCGCTGGGGCCCCCTCCCCGGGTCACACCCTCACTAGCAGTATGTGTCAGTCCAGCGTCCAGCCACCCGCTGGTGGGAGACAGGGTGCTGGTGGCGGTCGTTGGAACCCCAGCCACTGACAGCAAGGAGGCCAGGGGAAAACGGAACCCCAGTGCACGCACCCTGTATTCCCTTCCTCGCGGGTCCCCAAAGTCGGCCCTGACCTGGCTCCTGGCCTCAGGTGCAGGTGCCACCGGAAAGGGAGCAGAGGGCTGGAGGACCAAGGGCGGGCCAGCAGGGAAAAGTTTCTTTCCTGCGCCTCGGCTGCCCACCCGGTGAGACAGCTCTTGGGTCGCTGCCCCACCCCCACCGTGGGGGGAGCGCCCTGGAGCGCCGGGGTGTCTGCGCACCAGGGCGTGTGGGGAGCGACCGCCACCGACCCCGGGCTCTGACAGCAGCCGCCGGGCGCTGAGGGCCTTGGAAGGGACCGGCCGCGACAGCCCTCCCCCGCCGCGCGCCCCCCGCGCCGCCCCGCGCGCCCCCGCGCCCTCGCGCCCGCCCGGGCAGACACCTACGCAGCTGCGAAAGTGAAAGGCGGGCTCCCTGGCCGGGCGGCGCGGCGCGCGGGCACGCGGCGCGGGGAGGAGGACTGAGCCCCGAGCTACGATCCTAGGATTCGCCTGTCCCCCGCGCGCCGTGGAGCTGACCACAGCCTTCTCACTCTCCACCCTTCCCAAGTCCCAGCCTCTCACCCCAAGACACTCTGGTCACTCCAGCCCAGTGTGTGTGCGCGCGCTCGTTTTCACGGGCATTTGCGGGTGTGCGGGATACCCTATGCTCGAGACTCCTCCACTGCACGGTTACACGCCCCTAGGTGGAAGTCTGCGGGGCGGAGAGACCTGGGTCACTAGCGGTAGAGGCTCACCTGCTAGCTTGATTTTTAGGACTGAGTTAAATAAACCCAGGACTTGATCGTACATCCCCCTTTTCTAGTTTGACATTCCTTCCACGGTTTTCTAAACCCTCTGTAGCCCCTCCCTCTTTCCCAATTTCCTCCTAAATAGGAGTGAAAGTTGCTGATCCCCATTTAAAAGCGGTACTGTCCTGTTAAATTAATCCCTGCCTTTCTTCAGCAGCACTCCTATAGGTCAGTATCAAGCTTACTTGCTCCACCACCCACAGTGTTGGCACTCCTCAGTTCTGTGGCTCAAGGTGGCCTTTTGGCCTGCTGCAAAACAGACTTTTCCTGTTTTGTAAAAGTGGCTTCTAGGTTAAGTTTTGTAGAGGCAAGTCTTAGGTGAGATCAAGAAAGTGTTTAAATAATTTATAATAAAATTTAACCTTATATTCAGCAAATTTTAAAAAGGACAATTTAGAAGAATACTGATGTTCACAAACTGGAAATGCCTTAAAAATAAGAAGGACTGATACTGACAGATGAACAGAAAGATGAATAGAGACGTGATAAAGCGTACGTGAGTGTAGTATAATAACGGAAGAATCAAATTGCTAGTATACAAGAGTTTTCTCCAACTTCCTTGTATGTTTGAGATTTTGCATAGTAAAACACTAGAAGAGGAGCCACCATTTAAGGGAACTAAGATAATGTAAATTTCGTTCACAAGATTGGTGGGTTAGGCTTGGATGATTCCTTTCCCATGTACAAAGTAATCCTTCTCCTATGTGCTCCCACAGCTACTTCAGTCAATACTTTCAAATACAGACAATGTGATCAAAGTATGGTATAAAATGGGCTTATGATAGCTGCAACATTTTAGAAATTTAGGAGATTTCTTCCTATGGTTTATTTTCTTTTCTTTTGTTTTCTGAGACACAGTTTCTCTGTGTGGCTTCGACTGTCCTGGAACTCACTTTGTAGACCAGGCTGGCCTCCAACACAGAGATCTGCTTGCCTCTGCCTCCAGAGTGCTGAGACTAAAGGTGTGTGCCACCACTGCCTGGAATATTCCTATGTTTTTATTTAGCCACTTTGCAAATTTTTATCTGCTCTGTCTTTAAGGTTGTTTGATATTAAAATCTAAGATTTTTTTGGTATACTCTTTTGAAACATTTTCATACCAACACAGAGGGCGTCTGGGGTCTCTGCATGCCCAGATATGCCAGTTTCTTTTATTATTGAGGAAGATTTAGAGGATCTTAGAATTATCCATAGGCGAAGTTTTAGGTTTTTCTATTTTTAAATTTTTATCTGAGTATCAAGTTTCTCTTGCATAATCTCCCTTTGCTGGCACTCTGAGATGACACAGCGCTGGAATTCAGGGCTGTGCCCCCATGTGAGGGACACTAGGAAGGTGGCACTGCCTTTGATAGGATCAGTTCATCAGTACTGTCCCTAAGGGACACTATGAGAAAAGAGATCGCAGGGCTTTAGGGTGTTAGGGTGCACTCTCCTTTCCATGCCCATCGTGAAGAGCCCTGTTAGGCTCCAGATGTGTGTGGCAATGCCATTGCTTTAGAGAGGCTATCTCTTAACCAAAGCTGCTCTTTCCAACCTTTGAAATAAGCATATTTGTTATTTGCAAAAGGATGGAGGTTTTAATCTCTTTTGAAAAAGAGATTAAAAATTAAGAAATGGACAATCACAGAGAAGTATTACTCCATCTCCTATATAGCTACCAAATGTCTTAAAGCTGCAAGCAGCCTAGGTCTCTCTCCCTTTTGACAATCAGAGCACATTCACAGGCTGAGCCTGAGGACACCTCCCTCCCCCATCCCATTAGTGTCAAACTCCCTGAGGTTTGCCACAGTAAAGTGCACGACTCAGCGTTTGCAATTTACATGTGTGACATCACATCCTCTATTATGTAATTTCAGAAACAAAGCCTAATATCTAAGTTTGTGTTGGAAGAACCAGCTCTGTTTCGTCTTGAACAGAGCCGCCCTTAGCTCCCTGCTTCCAGCCTCACTTCCTCTTCATAAGCTGGAAGATTTCTCTGACCTCAGGTTGAACATACCTTTCTTATGTCTTTGTTTGCTAGCAAGAAAGTGAAGGCCATATAGTTTATTTTTATTGCATAAGATTTTTGTTTGTTTTTGTAGGCAGGGTTTCTCTGTGTAGCCCTGGCTGTCCTGGAACACTATGTGGACCAGGCTGGCCTCGAACTCACAGAGATCCGCCTGCTTCTTTTTGTTTTTTTAAGATACAGGCTAAAGCATTTAGTTACAATTAACTTCATTAACAAGCCTATCCACGCTAGGGTTGGTTGGTTTTTTATTTATTTATTTGTTTAGTTATTTATTTATTTCAGCTTTTCTCCTCTGTGTAGAGTCAGAGAAAGGAGGTGAACAGGACAATAATGTGAGATCAAACTTCTTTGTTTATTGCAAAACACACAGTTACAGTTTATAAACACTGCACACAAAGAAGAAATTGTGGACTGGAAGATAAATAGAGAACATATTAAGGATTTCACTGATACCCAAAATTGCCCAAACCCAATTTTCTACACAATTTGGAATATTTGCTTCAGTTTTCATTATTCACTAATTTGAATAATTAATTAGGGATTTGTTTACTGACTGATTTATCTTTCTACCTTCATCCTATTTTCAGGCAGTTTAAAAGAGAAAATTCACAAACTTACTACATTTCTATGGCCAGATTTTGAGATGGAAGAGCAGCAAACAGCACACACATCACGATTAGTAGCCATATTATTAGAAGCAAATCAGATTTCATTTGGCCTGCACTGAGGTTCTAAACTTAGAAATAATGTACAGTAGTTGGAAGGGGAAGGAACTTAGAGCAGTATATTTTAATAAAATCGGGACATTTTCAATTTCTTCTCTTTTCTCATGTTTTCTTGTGCAGTAGAAGAAATTCATCACCTTTAAATAACTGTGCTAATCTTACATAAATAACTGCATGGTTGTGTGCTCATTAGAAAGCCAGACTGTTTTTCTGGTATAATGCTCGGTAGCAGCACACAGACACACACAAATACACATACACACTCTCACACACATGAACATACACACATACACACAAATACACATTGCACGCACCACACACACATACACCAACACACTACACACCACACACAGGAGCATACACACATGCACATGCACACACATACATACATACACATACACACACAAACATATACACATACACACACAAATACACACTACACACCACACACAAGAGCATACAAATGTACACATGCACACACATACACACACAAATACACACTATATACACATACATACACACTCACAAAATACACATACCACACATATTACATACATATACACTTACACACCACAATACACACACATACATACACATATGAACATGCACACATATATGCACATACAAACACACACATGCACCTACATACACACCACACACACAATACATACGATACACACATATGCACATGCACGTGTGTGCACACACACATGCACATACACTGAAACCCACTGGGTCAAGAGTGTGAAACCCCTACCTCTGTTGAGCTAATGAAAACCCGTTTAGAGTTTCTCGCCAGGACTTCACAGAAGTGGCTCCCTTTTCAGTAGCTGGTGCTGTATTTTTAGCAACATTTTAACAGCTGTCAGTAACAACGAAGACAACATTTGATCAACAATATTTTTTATTCTATCAAAGATGATTGCAAAAAGAATGCCTCAATATTTAAATGTTTAGCCATTAAAGAGAAATAATTTCTTGTGATAAAAAAATGCTACAAACACATCAGAGACAGGCATGAAGTAATTGCATAAAATGAGGCCTAATGGACTTTTTTGTTTTAAATTTTCTGACAACTCTGTGCACCTAATAAAGATAACTATTCCCCAAAGGTGTCCATATCAGGAAGAGAAACATCACAATGGGGGTTACATAGTGTCTTGTCACACATTTGCAAATGGGCAGAGCATAGTTATGTGAGCAGAAAAAGTAAATATAATATTTCCCTTAATGGAGTTTAGAAAGAGAGGTTATCATATGTCAGATATATGACAATGGAAACATCAGATAGAAAATGTAAGAAGCTTCATGACAGATGCTATCGTTGTCCCTAAAGATAACCGTGGTCATCTGTGGAACTGGGTATATGTGGTAACTGAGACCTGTCCTTTGGAGAATGTATCACAAAGCAAATGAACCAAATAATCCAGTATATCTAGGGTAGGCTCCTCAAACTGAGTGGTTTTTTTTTTCTCCAAGGGAAATAGAGGTAATGATATTTTCTCCTTAAGTGCCAGGGTCAAATTATTCATAGGTCATCTGCTCTCTTCAAGAGCCTAATCCCGGTCTTGAAGGCAGCCAAACATTTTCCTCTTCGTCTAGCTGACAGTGTGGGTAATCTGTGCATTCTTACATCAAATAATGTTTCTGTTGCATGACAATTGTGTTCTCTAATCCTGTTGGAGTTCCATTACCCCTTCTAATAGGGAGTATTTTAAATTATATGACAGGATTTTTTTTAAAAACAATCATGCAATTTTTGTAAAAAAAAAAAAAAAAA